GAGGAGCAAGGGTCTCCTGCCAATGTGAATGCCGGCTGGGGAGCCCCTGGGAGATAAGCTTGGTGCTGCCCAGCACGTCTGCTCGGTGCCTCCTTTGTGCTGATTCCCCAGGGCCCATTTTCATGCAGGGACTCCTTCCCTGCCGTAAAGCCTTGCACGGGAAAAGGGGTCTGGATGACCCATGCTGTCCCCTTTTCCCATGGCTGGCTGTCACCATTCTCCTCTGAGACCTCCCTGCAGCTGGGATACAGCGTGTTGCCCTCAAGCTGCTGTTAAAACAGTTTCAGTGCTCCTTGGGCTGCTCTGTTCTTGGGGTGTCTTGGGGGCCAGTTGTATTTTCAAAGACATACGTTGGTGCGTAACAGTTTTTTGTGTGTCCCAGTGCACAGGGAAGATGCTTCCTTTGAGGAGGAGGATGACTTGTCTGAGGAGGAGGAGGAGGAAGAGAAGGAGCTTGCTCCTATCATGCCAGCCAAGAAGTAGAAGCAGCAGTAACTTATCTCCAGGCAAGGTGAGGGGCCAGGCAGCCTCAGAGAAAGGGTCTGGGTGGCTGTGACACTGGTGTGGCAAGCGTGGGTGGAAGCTGCCCTGCCGCAGTAGGCTGTTGGTCTCAGTCTGGTTCTTCCTCCAGGTACTCACTGGGACTTCTCTCCCTGGACGGCTTTTACCTCGGACACCTCTTACCAGGACCTCAACATTTGCTGCTTTGTTTTTATTTTTTTTTTTTTTCTGTTGTAACTTTTTGGGGAGCAGGGACTGCTCCCAGCACTGGGGTATCTCCTTTCCCACAGCCCTGGGAGGTTGATCCCAAAACTGGATGGATGCTGCTGGTACATCCCCCCTCCCCTCTCCCTGCGGTGGGGGTCGGAGATGGAGGAGGTGATCCTTGCCCTGTGCCTTTTTGCTGTCCTGGACCTCTGCTCTGTGCACCCCCTCTCCCTGGCTCTGAAATACCCAGTCCTGGCCCCTTTCCCATCAGATGGACATAAAGCCAGTGATGGGACAGGCAGTTTCACTGTTTCTGGTGTGTTTGCTTTTCTTTACTCACAATTTGATGGTTTTAATACACTTGGAAGTGTGAAACTGAGGCCCAGGCTGTGTCCTCAACTGCAGTTATGCTGGGGTGGGAGTTCACAGCCTACCTGTGATTTGGGGGGAAGTTCTGGGTCAATCTGCTTTGTAAAGAACTGTTTTTACACTCTGAATAAAGGTCTCTCAGACAACAGGTCTGGAGGGGGGTCACTGCTGGCTGGCAGGTTCCTCTCATGTGCACCTCAGTGGGAGATGCTCCTCCGTGTGCAGTCCCTGACACTTGCTTCCCTTGGCGATGCTGTGGAGCTCCCGTGGGGGATGCGGGTGCTCCTCTCTCTCCGCTGTGGACTCTGCATGCGTGTGCCCCATGTGCCAGCTCAGCCCTGCATCCAGGCTACTGAGGGAAGGGGCAGAGTTGCAGGCAGCTGTATGGGGCAGGGACCCAGCTCCACTTGTGCTCCCAAAGGAAACCTAGCTCTTAGCAACCCCCCTCCCTGTTTTGGGCCATGTTGACCCTGGTACTGGGCACTGTCACAGCAAGGTCCTCGCTTGTGTCTTGCTCTCAGCCCAGCAGCGTCCTGTGATGGGGTGAAACACCACCACCTGCAGAGTGTGGGGCAGGTTTGAGCTCTGACCTTTGCTGGAGAGTCTTGTCCCCCAGCGTCTGGGTACCTGGAGAGGGTTTGATCCTTTCTGTGTTTCAGTCAGGTGGCACTTCTCACCCTGGGGGCTGGTCCTGTCCTTAAGTGTTTTCTCTGGTAGTGTCCCTGCCTCCGACCTTGCATCCCATGGGTCGATGCCTGTCCCAGCCCTCCTTGTTTGTGACACTGGCTGTTGTCCCTGAGAAGCACCATGTACTGTTCTGCCCTGCTGGCTCTGTTGGTGCCCTGGGACCGTGAGTTCCTCCGTTGCATGGACTCAGGTAGGAAATCCTCCAGGGTGGTTCCTCAACTCAAGCTCTATCCTAGTTCATGAGTGGGGCTGTTTCCTCTGAGGCCTGTGCAGCTCCTCTCCACCTCCCCACTGTTTCCTTCTGGCCCCAGACAGCCCTTGACCAGCACGGAGGGAGGCTTTGGTGCCCCTCAGCGTCCCAACCCCATGGCATGGGACCGTGCCTGCCTGGGAGGCACCAGAGGACAGAGAAGAACCGACCTGGCGGAGATGAACCCTTTGGCTTGTGCAAGGCACCCCGCAGTAGCGCAGGGGGGGAGGATGCCGGG